TAGAAAGTTTTTGAGCAAAATTGACTCAACCTGATTGGAATTTCCAAGCATTTGTATTTTGTAAATTGTAAATGCAATTACACTTGCATTTGTATTCACAAGCATTTCAGTGTAACATGCAATGTAAGAAGTGATTGCATGAGTCCTTTTTAAACAGTCCGCCTTCACTGTTGTTGTTATGGCTGGTTGGCTTGGTGGCCTTCCTTCCTTCCTTCCTTCCTTCCTTCCTTCCTTCCTTCTTCCTCCTTCCCTCCCTCCCTCCCTGCCTCCCTGCCTGCCTCCCTCCCTTCTTCCCTCCCTCCCTTCCTTCCTTCTTTCTTTTTATTGTTTTGTTTGTTTTTGAGACAGGTTCTCACTCTGTAGCCCAGCCAAGACTCAAACTTGGAATCCTCCTGCCTCAGCATCCAGAGCCATACCAGGCATACATAATGTCTCTCTCAATTTCCTCTGATATAAAATGCTTGAAGCTTTCCAGGGACTGCTCAGATTGTGAGAGAGCCTGCCTTTCTCATGACCAGCACAGATTTTCTCAGGGGACAGAAAGTGTGTGTAAACAGAATCCCCACTTGGGCAGCTGAGCTGATGGGAACCTGAGATGGAAACGCCAAGCTAGAGAATCTGCGTCCTCATTACCAGAGACGTGACTGCGGAAACTCCTAGAAATGTCAGTGATGTACACCGGGATGTATGAAAAGCCGTACCTGGGGCTCTTCCTCTCACTTTTCTCTCATTGCTGTTCCCTCATGCTCCCTTTCCCAGCTCTCTCACCTCTTCTTCCTCTGTTTCCTTTGTATCTCTTCTCTCTCTTTGATGGAGGAAAAAAATTACAAATAATAGTACTATAAATATAAGATATGCTGTACCATATGTTTAAGGTTTGAACATACACCAGAATTATATGTGTTTATATGTACACACACGTGCAAGTGACACACACACACACACACACACACACACACACACACACACACACACACACACACACAAACTGCTTGATTGTGTGGAATAAAGTTTCCCACTTTGGTGAGTTAATTTTGTTTTCTTTTCCAGTGTTAGAGTTTTAACCCAGGGCCATTCCCCAACTCTTCAAAGTCCTCCCCTTAGCTTTTCACCTGTTTATAAGAAGTCTGCTCCCTACCTCCTGTTTTGTTTTGTTTGTTTGTTTTCTTTCCTGGAGTGAGTCCTGACCTGTCCCTTTCCTTTGCACCTCTGGCATTCCTACTTAATATGCTGCAAGCCTCTGGAAGAGAACTGAGTGTCAGGCATTTGCCAGGGAAGACGGCAGCCTGCATCAGGGAACGGAGTCCTAAGGAGCAGGCGCCACTACAATAAACATGCATTCTTCCCAGCAACAGCCTTGGACCAGAGCTTTGTTTTCCAGTGAGGACTGTGTCTCCCTAGCATCTCCTCAGCCATCTCTCCTCCTCTGGAGGGCCTCTTCTCTCAATCACAGCCTCACTTTTCTGAGGCAGTGGAGTTGCCAGCTCAGGGCATAACATGGAAGGCCTGCTCAGGCTATGCTGTGTCTCCTTTGTCACTGCAAATGAGCCAGAAAATTCTCTGAAGGGACAGGCCCTGGCAGATAGAGGCTTGATTTCTTTTGTGTGCACACGTGTGTTGTGCTAAGAAATCATTATCCAGCCTTGGATGGGCTCATTTTCTTCTCTCTTTCACTACAGTGCTACAAATTTAATTATTTGGTCACTGCCACTTTAATTAAAAAGGCCTTCTCTCTAGAGGTTTCCTTTTGAAATTTCCAGGAGATTAGGATTATCCAGGACATGTCAGCATTTTTTTTATATCAATATACTATATGGTACCTATAATAATATAAAAATGAAATACTGAGATATGAGAAGCTAATCATAGCCTACATTTCTCTCCTAATAATCCCAGATTACATTAATCATAAATGTCAGCCACGTCTCTAGATGACTTCTTGACTTTTGACAAAAAGCCTTCATTTTGGCCCTTTAAATTCCAAAGTCAAGGAGAATGTAACATTCGGAATAATTATTAGCATTATTTTACTTTGACATTTCACCCCTGCCTCTGGTTTAGCATTCCACCCAGGCAGCGAAGATGAATGTCATCTTCCGATTCACTGGAGGGAATTGCCCCAATTAAACCTGACTTAAAGGCTATTGGAACTGCTGTATTAATTTGCCGTTCTTCTTTAAAATAGAAAATAACTCATGAAGGAGAAGAATTTTCATTAAAACCATTACGGATTTACCGTGACATGAACAAGCAGTTTTTGAATTGACTTTTTTCCTCCCCCAGCTAGCATAATCATCACTGTGTACTCAGCCAGACCAGGGTCTCCCTGCTGGCACACAGCCCGGCAGGACTAGTCTCTGCTTCTCCTTGCAGCTCAAAGGTCATTGGGACAGTTTTGTCCCTTCTAAAATGATTAGAAGTGTCTTTCAGAAATCCTGGCCTTACCAGGGAGCAGAGCCACCTCAGGGTACAACTCCTGGATCACATCCTCTGGCTGTGCAACTACCCCCCACACACACACACACACACACACACACACACACACACACCACTTTCTTTAAAAAGGGGGGAGAAAGGGTGGCAGCAAGGGAGGGAAGGGAAACTGTGGTTGGGATGTAATGTGTGTAAAGAATAAAAATAATTCTTTTTCTTTTTTTGAAGTGAGGTGATTTAGTGAGGAATGCTGTTTTAAAAAAAGCCTCACTTTTATTATTTAAGAAGGAGGGATGAGCAGACTTCTGAAACATGTGTACAGCTAACACAGACTTTATCAGACTTGTTGGTGTGTCTCCAGTGCCTGAGGATGATGTCAGGTGGGCACCCCTAATGCACAGCAACGGAGACTGTAAGGAGGGAATGAAACAGCTGAGGTTTGATCTCAGCTTTGTGGTCCACTCTCTTTGTTAGGCAGCTCTCTCCTGAGAAGTCAGCTCTTCTTCCGTTTAATACCCTGCAGTAAACTTCTTCCTAACTCCTGAAGAGAAAAGGAACAGTATTGATTGTGCTACCTGGCTGGGTATGTGCCCCTTTAAAGCCTCAGTTTCTTCATCTGTGAAATAGGTCCAATACCATTGGATTGATGTAAGTATTAAATGAAATGGTGAATATTGTGGGCTCTGGATCCAGATCTGTCCAAGGTTGGTTCTTTGAAATTATTCCAAAACAGATCAGAGCAAGCCTGTTGACCTCCTCATTGTCTTCTTCTGGTATTTGCCCCAAAATTGCAGGGAAATCTGTGAGCACCTTGCTCCCAGTTTGTTTGGGGTGCAGTTGTCAGTGGGGGAGCTGTGGGAAAGTGGCTTCTTCACCTGAACTCAGACAAAATTCATAACCCTACCTTGCTTGAGCCAGTGGCATTCCTATTCTGTCAACTCATCTTGGCTTGTCCCTTGGAAGTCTATCTACTTGGATGGCGTTTCTGGACCTAGATGAGCTGTATTTTACTGACAGCTATGTCACAGCCTTGCCTTTCATGTTGACCTTGGCAGTATCTCTTCAATTTGCCCCATGGCCCTATCCCTGTGGCTGCCAGCTGGACATGAAATCCATCCATCCCCATGCTGTCTGGGCTGGCTTTTGAGTTAACCTTTGCAAGTAAAAGTTTCTTACTACCACCTGTCTCTTGATGCTTCATGGTATCTTTACCAGAATGAACTTAATACTGCTTTGCATCCAGGCAAGTCCAAACACCTCACCTTCATTGTAGCAATAAAGGCTTTTTCCCATCACTACATTCTCTGATAAACAAACAAAATGCTGAAATATTTCAGACACACACACACAAAATCAGAGAATAAGGTGACAGCCACCATAATCATGGCTACCATCTGAGTCCCCCTAAACTCACCTATTATAACCTTGATCCCCAAATTCACATATTAAGGGGACCTTTGGGTGTAATTTAGGACTAGATGTTGTTTATGACTTTGGTTGGAGGGATTCAAACAAATATCTTTGTACTGCTGATAGGTACTGAGGATGGACCAGAAAACAATTCCAACCTAGTCTAGCTTAGCTTGGTGAGCCAGTAAGTTTACTGGGGTTGTTTTCAGGCCTTATTCAGGTAGGTGCATCATTGAAAAGCCACCACAGCACAGATATGACTCATAGAAGTTGCATCCCTGAAACTTCCTGCTCAATTTGTAGGCAATTCCACTAGAGAATCGCCACTCTGGGATAATTGTCGACTATGTTTGTACCAGGTGGGGAAGGGGTCCGGGGTTATGTGAATTTCATGACTTTCATGAACTTTCTGGACCTTGTATGTTTTCTTAGATTCCTGAGTCTGTGGGCCTCTCTTCAAGAAAAAAGTGTTTAACCTGGAGGAAAGAGGTACACAATTTATCCGTGAGGGTGGAGCCCATGATGACTCTAGTAGCTTCGGTAGGAGGGGAATCGAGGCCCGATTCAGTGCACATGCTCTGTCTCATCATGTGATACCCTCCACAATGTTAACAGTGCAGCATGAGGGCCACCACCAGATACAGTACCATCTTTACTTCCCAGCCTCCAGAAGCAGGAGCCAAATAAACTTCTGACCGGCCACAAGTATTTATAATAGCAGCAGAAAATGGAGAAAGACACTTAATCTAACATTTAGCTGTATTTTGTCATGTTTTAAAATCATTGAATGTAATAAAGAAATTTAAAAACTGATCAGAGGCTTAAATTTAAAAAATTGAATGTTAAAATAAGGTTGCATCTCCTTTCCAGCTTCCTCCTGTTGTCCCTCTTTGGAGGGAGGTTTTATCCTGAATTTGTTTTCCTTTTCAAACATATTTTGCACATTTATTATGCATTTATGTGTTCATAAATACCACACTGCATTGCTTTCTATTTACAACGCCATGTAATTGAAAATGTATGTTTTATACAGTGTGTGTCTATTATAGGTTGAATTGTGTCATCCTCCCTTCCTGAAACCCATAGTACCTTGGGTTATGACCTTATTTGGGAAAAGTGCAGTACAGCTGTAATTAGTTAAACTCTGATACCACACAGCAATAGGGTAAGTCCCTATGATTGGTGTCCTTGTCATGTGAAGAGAGGAATTTCCAGAAGGAAGACAGTGTGAAGATGCAGAATGGAGATACTGTGTGACTTTTCCTGAGGAAACAAAGAAATATCTGCCCCCAGGTAGAGAGAGCATCAACAGACCAAAGGATTCCATTCAAGTCATTGGTGAGCTAATGTGTTTACTGGAGTTATCTATGGGACTATGGGTGACTCACAGGCAGCTACAATCACCAAGAAATCCCCTGAGTGACAAATGGGGAGCAGCACTACTAAGAAGTCCCACCCCTGTGAACTGTTTACCTCTTACATAGAAGGATTGGAATCTCTGGGAGAGGAGGGAGCATGTGAGGATCTCCCAAAGGATTCAGGACCCTCCCCTCTTCTTCCACAGGGAATGTCAATAGGCGTGGTCATCTCAGGAGGGTCTCAAGTGCTTCATCACAGCCATTCTGATTTAAGATGTAAGTGGCCTAAAGAAGCCTTCAAAAACCAGCTGTTGTACAGGCAGGAAGTCTGAAGGAGTGTTTACTTCACTTCATGGTTGTATTTTTAAAATTAGCCATGTTGGGGGTAGCAGACAACCACACCATTTCAATAGCCTTGTAAGATTAGAAGCATTTTAAAGGATACGTGTCACACAGGCAGCTCTTTATTCCATGAAAGCATGTTAGGCACCTACTCTTTGCCAGGGAAGAAATGGGGAGTAGGCCGATTGGCTCGAAGTGAGAAAGGTGACCCCTGATTGAGCATGAGGCCAGTTGTTTGGGGGCAGTGGACAACATGGCACAAGTACTAAGCGGTGGCTGCTGGTGGGGACGTATTGTGCAGGGTCACCATGGTCTTGGCGGAAAGCTGTTTCCTGCATTGCAGTGCTTCTCAACTGTCAGCTACCATCCGAGGTCCTGGAGGGATTAACAAAATGCACACCAGTAAGGCCCTCTCTTAGGTGTTCTGATTCTCAAAGTGTGGGCTTGAAAGTGCATCTTTCTAGCAAGTTCCCTGGTAACCTGGGGGATATTTTGAGAATCACTTCTCTGCTGCACTCACTCTTACAGTAGCTGTTGTCAGCTGAGCTTTTGTTTTGTTGTTGTTGTTGTTTGTTTTACACAGGATTTCACGTAGCCTAGGCCAGCTGGCCATGATCTTGAACTGCTTTCCTCTACTTTCCCAGTACTGGGATCACAAGCACGGATCACCATAACTGCTCCTGTCATTTGTATTTTTATTTTATTGTTGTTTCCCATCTTTCTTTTCATTTTTGACAAGTTCTTGCTATATAGCTCAGACTGGCCCTGAACTCATGATGCAGTTCCCTGGGTGCTGGGATCACAGGTATCTGCTTTGTATTACTTGTTTAGTTTTGAGATGGTGGCTCTTAATGTGCCCATAGCCCAGAGCTTTCAATGCAGTCCAAGATACGAGTGTGTGTGTGTGTGTGTGTTTGTGTTTGTGTTGTGTGTGCAAATATATTTATATACATACTGGTTTTTTCAGACAAGTTGTATATTTTTAATATGTATTAATTTTCAGTGTGATTGAAAAAAATCCTTGTCATAGCCTGGATTGTAAACTTTTCCCTCTGGTGAAGTCTTTAGGTTTTAGTTTCTGGTGAGAGACTTGGGGTGTCACTGGTCCTATGCCAGTATTGCAGCTCAGTTTCTTAACCACACTTCCTACACTATATAGGAAGGAGAGGTTCCAAGCTCACATGTGTACCTTCAAATCTTGGACTGCAGAGTTTCCCCTTTTATGTAAGGCCACTGGTGAGTGGCGTGATACCCTTTTCTTTACTGCCCCTCTAGATCTAGTGTAGGGGTCTTGTTGGCCCCTACATTATTACACAATGAATTGGGTCCTTCCCCAAATTTATATGTTGAAGCCCTAACCAACTCGAATTTCTTTGTAAAGTGACTGTAAGGGGAAAAGACATGAAAGTGGGTAAAACCCAACAGGACTGGGGTCCTGTTATGACAAGGAAGACACATCAGGGATCCATGTAGGGAGGTAAGGTCACATGGGGTCATATGAGCATCAGTCACAGTTCCACTGCTTCAAGGTGGCAGCCACCTGCAAGCCAAGGAGAGGTTAGAATAGAAAGCTACCTTGCTCAGCCTCCAGACATCTGATAAATACAGTTCTGCTATTTAAGCTATCCAGTCTGTAGTATCTTTTCATCACAGTCCTGGCAAAAGGAAATTATCATCATCATCATCATCATCATCATCATCATCATCATCATCATATCATCATTGTTGTCATTGTATTGTCATTGTCATTGCTGTCATCTTCTTCAACATTCTCCTCCTCATGCAGTACTGGGGAATGACTCCAGGGCTTCAAGCATGCACACCTCCAGCCATCAACTCCTTTCAATGCCACTTGAGTTCTTTGCCCAGGACTTCACCCTCTCTTCTATCTCTCCAGGTAAGAACACTGAGAGCTGGCATTCTCTCTTACTGCAGCTAGGTGCTCTTGGAACTACGAGAAAGCCAGGGGCTGCTTCTATCCACTCTTCTGGTTTCAGTTCCCTTCATTTCCAGTCCTTGTGGCTCTTAATTTAGCCTCAAGTTTAGCTCTTTCTAGATGTTGTATTTTTATCATGTATCTGGTATCTTCATAGCTAAAAGGATCCAGTCTATCTCAGATTCATATGCCCTGTTGCTGGATATCCATGCTCTATTCGTAAATTTGTTTAGCACTTTCCTGTCTCTGGATTTTATTCCCCTTTGCTCCTATGATTTTTTTTATGAGATTAGTACCACAGTGATACTCCAGATAGAAAACCAGAAGCTTGGGGTATTTAAATGATTTCTTTGGTGACCTTGGAACTTGTCCTCCAGGCAAACCCCAGTGATTCCTCCTGTTTATGGGCTGTTACCATCTAAGTGAAACAGCAGCAGTTCTAGAAGGTCCACGAGCAGTACCCCAGCTCTACAGACCTGGGAGATAGTTACGTGAAAGCGCTGTGGCTTATAACTGAAAACTCCTGATTTGGAAAATGCTGAGAAGATTCCTTCTAAGTCAAGCTACAAGATGTTGCTGGGAGCACTGCCTTCAACTATTTTCTTCTCTCTTGAGACCACCCATGCCACGCATTCTAAGGGGCTGATTTTCATCTCTGTTTATGCCTGACGCTAAGCAGACATTCTTTCTAATTTTTGTTCTAGTCGATTCTTCTGCCAGCATCCAAAAGACTTTCCTCATTAGAAGACAATCCTTGAACTCTATGGAACAACTGTGTATAGTCCAGGAGGAAAGTGGTGGAGATGTAATGGATCCAGGGGGATACCGATCTTAGGTATTTGGCTTAGAAATTGATTTGAAGGTGAGTTTTCCTTGTGTTCAGGACTGCTTAGCAGTGAGTGAGGAAGTTTCTTTCCTTCATGCACACACGAATTGCCTGTGACCTGACTTTGAACTCACTCTCCACTCTATACTCTGAAATCTATGTCAGCATTTTTGTTGTAATTTTTCCCCTTTCCTGGATATACAGAGACTGTATATATTTTTCTCAGGTACAGTGTGACAACTTGATATACATATGTAACATACGGTGATTAACTCAAGGTTGCTGGGGACTGGGGAGATGACTCTGTTGGTAGTAAAATGCTTGCTACACAGTGCAGGACCTGAGTTCAGATCCCTGGTAGCCATACAAAAAGCTAGATGCTATGGTGTGCGTTTTACTAGGAAGGTGGAAGCAGGAAGATCCTGGGGTCAGCAGCCAGCTAGTCTGGCTGAATGGGTAAGCTCCAAGTTCAGTAAGAGATCTTGTCTCAAAAATTAAGGTGAACGTTAAATTCTGGTCTCCAGGCATATGGACATGCAAAACACACACACACACACACACACACACACACACACACACAGAGAGAGAGAGAGAGAGAGAGAGAGAGAGAGAGAGAGAGAGAGAGAGAGAGATCCCCTTCCTCCATACACACACCAATTCTATCTCCTAATACACTTACTATTTCCTAGTGTTTGAAGCCTTTGAACTCTCACACCCAGCTTGGGGCAAGCAAATTGCATACAGTCCTTGAATCTGTGAACTCTGAAAGGGTGCTCAAATTTCCTTTTGATTCTTGCATGGGATCCATCCATTTTCATTCCCCTCCAGCTCTTTTGGTCTTAATCCCTCACACACCTCTTGTCTTCACTCTTCACTCACAGTCCGGCCTGAAACTCATTTTCTGTCAGGTCTCAAGAGAGTTCAGGAGATTAGCTTTTGATTCCTGTAACTGCTTCTGCTTCTCTTTTCACAGGCTGTTGAAGGACTGCCAGAGACATCTGTGGCTCAGCTCCTGCAATCTGCCGGACCTTAACTTGTGTTTTATGTGCTAACCTTACAAGCTTCATTCTGTTCTGAGTTCCTTACTTGCTATCCAAGCGGATTGTTTAGTTGGTAGGCAAAATGCTCCCAAATTAGCTTTCCTTGAAGAAGAGCAAGACCTCATCTGGAGAGATGGCTCAGTGGGTCAAAAGCACATGCCACCAAGCTTGAGGACCTCAGTTTGATTCCTGAGATTCATACTGTAGAAGGAGAGAATGGATTCCTCTGACCTCTACATATGTCCTGGTGTGTGTGTGTGTGTGTGTGTGTGTGTGTGTGTGTGTGTGTACATGAACACGCATGCATGCTCTTGCAAGCATAAATAAATGTTAATAAAAACTAAAGATTAGCAAAGGCCATGATTCTGTGATTAAATTTTGGTTGTCCTTTTGTATTTTGTTTTTTGATTGTTTCTTTGTTTTGAAATAGGGTCTTGCTGTCTTGTCCAGACTGGTCTTGAATTCATGGCAATCCTCCTACCTCAGCTTCCTTATTGATGGGATTGCAAGTGTCACCATGCCCAGATCTAGTCTTTTTTTGGTTTGTTTTAGTGGAATTAATGTCAGTAGTTAATACACAAGCTTGTTATAAATAAAAACTTATTAACAGTAAGCTGTTGCATGGATATCACATTTAGTTTTGCTAGGAAGATGGCTTGGTCAGTGCTTACCTTACAAGCATGAGTTTGATTCTCAGAATGCATGTGAAAATACACACACACACACACACAGAGAGAGAGAGAGAGAGAGAGAGAGAGAGAGAGAGAGAGAGAGAGATATGAGGATGAAGACAAAGAATTAGAAGAAAGAGGAAGAGGAGAAGACAACACTGTAGGGATTATTTGCATAGCGATGTGGATATACTTCATACTACTTACTTGTGTACTTTAGAAGGCTATGTGTGATGGAGTCAAGAGGCTAAGACAAGATGCACTGGAGAGTGAGTTTGAGACTATCAGGCAACTTAGTGAGACAATGTCTCAAAATTTAAAAAATAAAAAGATAGCTGGAGACATGGCTCAGAGGCAGGGCACCTGCTTGGTGCATCAAGGCTCTGGGTTTGATCTCTATGCCTGAAAAAGACGGAAGGAAGGAAATCAAAGGTGTGGGGGGTATATTTTGTTTTATATGTATTTTAATTTTCATGGACAAAACAAGCTAACAACTTGATTTAAATTTTATATTTTGTGGACAGGCCTTTCCTGGTGGCTGACTACTCCCAAGTAAAGTACAAGGACTCTGCATTTAACCTTTCTGGTGCCCATCTGATACTTGTGTAAAAAGCCCATCATTGAATCTAGATGCATATATTGTTTTATGGATGTTGAGATAAATAACAGTTTTCTTTTCCTTGTTAAAAACAGAAGAATTCTTTCTGCCTGCCTGCATCTTGACGTTTCATCTTCATTGACCTTCCAGTGCTCCCAGGTTACCTGTTCGGGCAGCTGCCTGGGATCTGGCGGTGCCTTTGTGCTCTTGGCTTCAGGACTATCAGGTTGCAGTGGGCTCCTTCCCCCACATTCTCAGAAACACAGTTCACTGAAGATGACTGACCATGACAAAGAACATTTATGTCTTTGGAGCAATGTCTTCTACTTCTGTTTTCTGCTAATGTTTTAAATGTGAGAAAAAAGAGCCGAGGTCAGGGCCCACATGATCTCATCAACACAAAAGGGGTTTTTAGTAGAACTGTTCCAGAAACGTCGAGCTGAGGCACTGAGGAGAAATGGTGGAGTTTATCAAAGCAAGCTTGTGTTGTGGTGTCTGTTAGAGGGGGGAAAAAGCCTTCTTCATACCTGCTGAGCACACGCCTGTCACCGCCTCCAGTTCACTGTGACTCTTACAGGTTAGCCAGGCAGGCAGGGCGACACAGGAGAGCTGCTTAATTGTTAATGCATCTCAGGAGAGTTGGTGATTATTTCAATAGCAAGAATTTCTTTTACCACAGTTGGGAGGATGAAACAAAAACATCAGAAGCCTAACTGGATCATTTTGAAGTGCATCTATTTTTGTTTTTTGTTTGAGACTAAACTGCTTCTGGCAAAGTCAATTCCTATAGTGGTAACTGTCTTAAGTCATGGGGTCCTAGAGGACACATGCATGGTCTCAGTGCTGCAAGGAGAAAACAAGAACAAAAGGTCCACATTACACCTCCTTGGGACCACCTAGATGAATAAAGGCTTAACCTTCTTCACACAGAAAAAAACAAAACAAGTGCCATCACCCTAGGTATTTATTGGGACTCCAGTGTCCCAACAGCAGCTTTGCAATTGCAAGTTGCCAAGGTTGCTGCATCTGGTAATTATTTACGTGCTCTTCAAATTCTATCCCCAAACAACAAACTAGCTAGCTAAGATAGCTCATGCCTTCAATGCCAACCAAGAGCAGGAAGATGGCTTAAAATTCAAGGCAATCCTGGTTACATAGAAAGTTCCAGGCTACCATAGGCCTTGGAGTGAGGCCTCTTTCAACAACAGACCACAATTTCATCTGTGTGATTTCTCCACAGGAACCCAGCTTTACAGCTGAGCCATGAATCTGTCAAGTACCAAGACTATCTCTTTCCTTGTGGAGGCGGATCATTGTTTTGTACCAAGCTGATTTCTTTTGTTCCTATTTGTTGCATATTTGTTTTTCTATAGCTGTTCATCTTCTTGATTCATTTTGGATGTTCTGTTACTTAGATGTGTTTGGCAACATCTGAACCCCTAAAGTTACTTGGGTAAACTTTCAGGGTTTGGGGTTAGATTTAGTTTGCGTTCTTTGAAATTTTGTATTTGTTTATTATTGCTTGAGATTTTCATACATGCATATAATGTGTTTTTGCCAACTCACTCCTCTCTAATTCTTCCTCTGCCCTCCATGTCGTTACTTTTACTTCCCAACTTTATGTGCTTAAAAAAAAACCAAAAACCAAAAAAACACTGAGTGCACTTAGTACTGGCAGTGTGTGCATGGACGTAGGGCCATCTACTGGAATATGGGCAGCCTCTCGAGAGCTGGAAAAAAAAAAAAGACTCTCCCTCTCCTATTAGCCATCAGTTGCAACATCTTCTCAGATGGGGTGAAACTGTACCATCCCCTGTACCATCCATGCTGGCATTGTGTCAGGCCTGATTGTGTCAGTTCCGGCTGTTATAACATGGCAGTGTGAGGTTAGATGTTGGCAGGCGAGTCCAAACCATGGCGGGTGAGGGACAAACACACCATGAAGACAAAACTTACATGAGAAATTTGGGGGAAGGCTAGGGAGTAGGGGAAGGGAAGGGGGCAAGGGGAGAGAGAAAAAGAGCAAAGGGGAGGTAAAGACCTGCCTGCCTCTTCAGAGGAACGGTGGGAAAAAGAGAGTAGGAGTAGGCGGAGCTTGTCTCTTACAGGGACCTTTTGACCCTGTGTAAGGTACTGTTTGCCGTGCACCCCAAGGAGAACAATGGCTGCTGTGAATTCATGTGTGCAGTAGCTCTGTTATGTCTGGGAAACACTTTGACTCAAATCATCCACTACCTCTGGCTCTTACAAACTTTCTACCCCCTCTTCCACAATGATCCCTGAGCCTTGAGAGGAAGGGATTCGATATTGATGTCCTCCTGCTTATGGATGAGCATTCCATAGCCTCCTCTTCTCCTCTCATTGACTAGTTGTGGGTCTCTGTATTAACCAACACCTGCTACAAAGAGAAGCTTCTTTTCTGAGGATCAAGACATCCTCTAACCTGGGGGCATGAGGATAAGCACTGTAGGGCAGTTTAATACGATATCTATTTAACAGAATAATAGCAGCAGGCTCTCCCCTAGGGCCCAAGTCACAGGTTCTACCCCAACCACAAGGTTCTTGGTCCAGGCATGAGCTCTGTCTTGAGGATCAGACCTTAAATCCAACCAGGAAGTGGTTGATTCCTCCCATAGCATCCGTATCACTACTGTGCCAGTAGGCATATCTTGATCAATATTTCTCAACCCATTTTGCACACTAAGGTGTAAAACTCAGATCACAATGGGAGAAAAAAAAACCACAGTTTGTCTTCCTGTAGATACTTGTATCACCATCTACAGCAGGCAAGAAGGAACAGGGAAGAAGGGAGAAGTGCCCCAGTGTTGTTTTGCTAATGGGTGGAAGGCTGGGAGGAGCAGCCAGGCCTCATCTTATGCAACACTCAATATTGGTGCCTGTTCATCAACAGGTTCCCAGACAAACAGAGAAAGCCTTATTTGTAGTAGAATCAGCTTATCCCCAGGAGTCAAAGCTCCTGGCTGAAGACCCCTTTGGAAACTCTCCTGGCTCCCAAACTTGCTGACAATAAGGTCCCTTGCTTTCAGGGACTGCCAGGTGCCAGCCCCTGCTGAGCACCATTGTGTTTCCAGAAGTAACTGAAGCCTTCCCATTCTGGGCCTGGGAAGCTTTCTTGGATGAGCTGGATACTTAGGCACCTGCCTCCAGTTATCATTGAGTTGCTGCTGCAGCTCCTTTGTGACAGAGATGGGGCCTGAGGCTTCCTTCATCAGCACCAAGCTACTGCAGTTAGGAATTGGTGTGGAGGTCAGTCAGGAAATGTGGCCCCCAAACATAGCATCCTGGCTTCTCTGAAGAGAGTGGCAGTAGGAAGAAGTCTCTGACCTCATCACTTCCAAAGCAGGCCATGAATGAATTAGCTGACCTTTGCCTGGAGCAGATCATAAGACCCAAGTAAAAGGTGACTTCCCTAACCCAGAGGAGAAGATGCCCTTCTCTCTGAAAGGACACAGGGAACAATCCCAACCACCAAGCTTTGCAAATTCTCCCACAGTATTACCACAGGATCTTACCTACTTTGACCACATATTTCTCTGTGAGCACACACTCTATATCAAAGCTAAGCATTAATGCACAGATTTTCTTGTTCTCTTAAGTCTTTATTTCTCAAACTCCTGTGTCATTTAGAACTTACATTAAATAAATGTGTATGCCTTTGTCTTATACTGTTTCAACACTGCTGAGAAAGAAAATCCTTCGCCCTCACAACAGCTTATGTAGGGAAATAAACAAACATAGAAACAGGGATCAGATGTCACTAAGGGGTTGGTCAGGAAGATGGCTGCTGGGGACCCCTGAGAATTCTTTCCTTCTTGGGGTGACCACTTTGGCTTCCTGAGGCTATCACATTAGGGAGGGACAAGAGCACTTGTCCAAGTGCTCTTGGGACAAGGAATTTATTTTCAGAACAACAACAGGGAAATGTATGAATGCCTAACTTCCAGGTAGTTTTTCACTGATCCTTAACCTTGTACAAAATGGAGATTTCACTGAACTGACTGAAAGACACCCACCAGATGAGGTGGTAGGCCACTCGGAACAAGGCTTAAGGAGGATGATC